ATTAGAATGATAATGATTACCTTGCACCATAATTTTTAAACTGGCTAACACTTTTTTTCACTGCTTTTTATATATGTGACCCTCCCTCAGGGATCATTTTTCTACTCCCCTAAGCACATCCTTTGTATGGAGGAGTGAACAGTCTGCATCTTTGATTTACAATGTCTATTTCAGCCTTCTTAAAAGGCAGTTTCCCTGGATTTATTTATTATTCAAGTGTGTCAGTTATTGTCTCTTGGAATTGTTAAGATTTTATTCAACTGTACTCCAGCTTCTCTTGTTACTGTTGAAATACCAACTGAAAGTCTAATTTTCATGCTTTATAAAACGTAAGCTGTCTTTTCTCTGATAACTTTCAGTACTTTTGCTGCTCTGTACGTCTGTTAAAATGGCAAAATCCAAGAGCGCCCCCGTGATCCAGCTCTCTGAGGGAAACCACGGTGGCCCCGTGTGACCACCAGAACGCAGTGAAGAGCTGTCTTAGACCCTGAGAACAGGCCCTAGAACGCACTGGGGCATCGCCTTGCTTCCCTGGATGGCTCACTCTGACTCGAGGCCAGCCTCCACGGCAGGAGGATGTTCAGCCAGTCCCGTGAAGAGGTGCACACGAAGGAGAATGAAGTTCTCCAATTAACGGTCACTCACACGGGACTTGGGGACAAGTAGATCCACAAGCTTCCAGTGACTATGGCCCCGGCCAGCATGAGACTGAAACTCCACGTGACCTCGTGTCAGAGATGCCCAGCAGAGCCACTCAGTTTCCTGAGCTGTGAGGTCCTAAGTAATTATTTTGTTTTTAAGCCATTAAGTCTTGGAGTGATTTGTTATGCAAAAACCAGAACTAGAACAAACACAATTTGCCCTTATCTGGATCTTTTAGGGTTTCTTTATCTATGGTTGGTGTTTTTATAATTCCCAGAAAATTTCTCAGAATTTCTGAAAATTTTCAGAAGTCCAACTTATATTTTTCTTTTTATTTACTTTAATACTTTCCTTAATTATCTGTATTATTTTTGTCTAGGACTCCAATTAACCTTTAAGAACTTCTCACAATGTTCTCCAAGTCTGTTCATTTTATTTTCTTCCAGATTTTTATACCACATTCTATATAAATTTAGTTTTCAGTTCACAAATTTTTCTCTTTGTCGATCATCTGCTATTCACCTTCCCATTGCATTTTTCAAATTAATATATAATATAAGGCCATAAAATACTCAGGTATTTGGTGTGATTGAATTTTTATATGGATTCTACTCATATAATCACAACCCCCAGCCAAGAGAGAGACATTCCCAGAATCTCAGACAATGCCCCCCAGAGTCTTTTTCAGTCACTTGCTCCTCCCAGAGACAACCATATTGATTTCAACCATCTATCCTAGAATTTTAATAAATGTTATCATGTGGAAGGTACTCTTTTATGTATAGGTTCTTTGGCTCAATAAAGTTTTAAAAGTCCATTCATATTATCTGGAATATTTCATTCTTCTATAATGCTGAACAGTATTCCTTTGCAGAATGTACTTTTTTTTTTTTTTTTTTTTTTGCAGAATGTACTTTTTAAAGATCGATTTAATTAATTGAAAGGTGGGGGGAGAGGAGAGAGAGAGAGAACCAAAAAAAAGGAGGGAGAGAGAGATTCTATCTGCTATTTCACTCCCCTAAATGGCCACAATAGCCAGATATGCGCCAGGCCAAAGACAAGAGCTAAGAACTTCATCTGGGTCTCCCACATGGGTAGCATGGGCCCAAGTACTTCTATAATTTTGATACTATTATAAATAAATTTTACTTTTAATCCACTTATAAGTTTTTATTGCTAATATATCAGAACAGAATTTTGTTTTTATATTGACTTTGTACCCATAATCATGCTTAATTTATTTTTTTTCTTGGTAGATTCTTTAGACCTTTCTACATAAAAATTCAGGTTGTTTACAGAGATAGACAGCACCTTCCTTTGTAATCTAAGGTCTTTCATCTCATTCTTGTTTATTTCATTTGCTGAGATCTCTGTTACAATATTAAATCAAAGTGGTAAGAGCAGATATTCTTTCTTGTTCACAATCTAATTAAAAATGTTTACTATTTCACCAGTAGGTATGATTTTAACTACATACAGGTCTATTCCTTGTTCCTTATACACTGAGGAAAATCTTGAAGTGAGGAGTTGTATTGTATCTGTTTAAATATAGACTGCACACGTGGCATTCCCCTTTTACAAGGCTTGAACACCCACTTTGGGTTGTTTTCCATAGGTTTCATAGCGGGGGTGTACGTGTGTGTGTGTTATAATTAAGCTCATCAAGAGGACAGTACAGTGGAACTTATTCTATTTCATATTTAATTTCAACCATTATGTTCTTCATTTCTTAATACATGTTTCATTACTTTTTCAAATTTGTTAGATATTGTTTTGAGAGTCTCTATTCTTTATGTATTTTATTCCTCTTATTTTTAAAAAAGATTTATTGTATTTATTTGAAAGACAGAGTTACAGAGAGAGAGAGAGAGGTCTTCCATCTGTTGGTTCACTCCCCAGATGGCCGCAACGGCCAGAGCTGTGCCAATCCGAAGCCAGGAGCCAGGCGCTTCTTCCTGGTCTCACACGTGGGTGTAGGGGCCCAAGGACATGGGCCATCTCCTACTACTTTCCCAGGCCACAGTATAGAGCTGGATTGGAAGTGGAGCAGCCAGGTCTTGAACCAGCGCCCATATGGGATGCCAGCGCTTTAGGCCAGGGCATTAACCAGCTGTGTCACAGTGTCGGCCCCTAATTCCTCTTATTTTTAAAACATATGAGATCTGTTTATTTTATGTTTTTTTATTCAGATTACTCCTTGTATTTAGGAAAACTTGTGTATCTGCTTCTGCTCTGTTTCTGACAACTGGTGCTCATGGTACATTTTTTCCTGTACATATTTATTTTATTTTTTAAAATGAATATGTCTGTTCCTTGGAACTTTATCTCCAGGAGTTCTTTGTTTCCTGAGTTAAGAGTACATTCTTCAAGAGAAAATATACATGGAAACTTGTGCATACTACCAATATGGATCCTTTTTCACTAAAATTCTTGTTTGGATTTTTCTTCTTTAAAGACTGGGTACCTAACCTCCACGTAGACCAGCCTGTAGCCAAGAATTCTCAGAGTTGACTTTTGTTCTTCTATGAAAAACCAATAATGAAGAAAGCACGCTTCCTGCCTTGTACTCTCTCTTTACAGATCTGATATTTCTAGTTGCTGTTTTCCATTTCTCTGAGCATTTAATCTGCAGGACTCCTTGCTTGATAGTATATCCTTGAATTCAATTTCACATGCTGCCAAGGACCAACACTTGGGCTCCTGTTGCCAGAGGGGCCAGTTAAATCCAAACCTCTAAGTCATCTGGACTGCAGGGCGTACCCAAGTTGGCAGCTTCAGTGTTTGATTTCCACCATGCGCTACACTCCAGCTTGGTTCGCAGCCCCAAGGGAATTCCCATCCTGTCTCATAAACTTGGCCATGCATTTGTGATACTGCTGTTCATGCTTCAGCTAGTATTTTTAGACATGTGAAAGCAGGAGAATTTCAGTTACATCTAGTTTAATATCTAGTTAGCAATAGAAATTGTCAACATTTGCTTCTTTTCATCTCTAACAGCTTTAGTCCTTATACTTTATTTGGCTGGTTGGCAAATGAATTAGTGGGCCTGATAACAGATAACAAGGAGAGTTACTGATCTCTGTGCCCACAAATACTGAATATACTATCTGATTTTTTTAAAAGACAGCTATGAAAAGGAATAGAGGAATATAATGCATAGCTTGCGTCTCTCATGATGGTTTTATTCTAGAATACTCCAAAGGGTTTCAATATAGAGCTGTGGGAAGCGCAGCCTAGGAAGGAAGTATAAATAAGAGGAGTGATTGAGGCCTTGTGTTCCTACCTCACTAGCTCTCAAAGCTGTCTTTCATAGCCAAAATAAAGCTTGAATGGATCAAAATGTTTCTTGGACTTTAGCCAGATTTCACATGAAAGGACTTTTATCTCACTCCTTTACCATGGAAAGAAATCTCTTAGCAATTACACATAATACATTTAATTCCTAAGGCTAAATTACAGAAATATAACTTGTGGACAATAAAATATCTTAAAAAATTATTAAATAGATTAATTGTGAAAGGTTTAGTCCAGTGGCTTTCGAGGGTAACCACTCATTAAATGGCAGCTCTTATTATTTCCTTATATAGTAGTTCTGAGGTGAGAAACATGTACTATCCTGGGAATACCTCTGTTACATTCAGAGATGGATTGATACCCATGAGGTCTATCAAAATGGACTCAGGACTCCATGTCTTTCCCATCCTTGGGGGCTCCCCACTGTGGGCTGGAGAACCTGAGACGCCAGGGATGGCTCTGCAGCTCTGTTACACTCTCTCACAGAGAGCCGTTTATGCAACTGGCAGCATTTTTCTCTTTAGGCTGATAGGCAAGGCAGTTCATGTTAGGTGCCCGTGGATTACAAAGACGGACAGCAGGGAGAGTGTCTGTCCACAGGAAGCCTGCAGTCTTTAGCTGGGATTCTCAAACTCAGTTACAGATAAGAATCATCCAGAAAGATTTGGGAAAACTTCTAATTTTCTATATTTACCTTCTCACCCTATAGTTATTTTGTGGGAGGAATCATACTATCTTCTTTCCATATGCTTTATAGCCAGTCTCTGTTTGTAGTAGGAATCAATGAAAATGTAATAAAAATTATGAAACAATAAACTAACAAAATGTGATTTAGAAGGCATTTTCAGTAGGAATCACAAATATGATTGTAAAGTCAATTTCTAGGCCAAAAACAATGCACTTATAACACTGCTGCCTACCTCCACCATGCAATTTCAAAGGCCATTTCACTCCAAGTGAAAATAATAGCATTGTCAAAAATTAAAAATTACATGGCAACATCTACACAATGTTGGTTTTGGAAATCTCTCACATGACACTGTTAGTTAAAGAACTTGTCTTACCAGTTTAAGGTAACCATCAGCATCTAGAATTAAGTTTTCTGGCTTCAGGTCTCTGTAGATAATACCAAGTCGATGTAGGTAATCAAATGCTTCTGTTACACAAGCTACGCAGAATTTGGAGGTGGGCTCATCAAAGCTGCCTCTGCAATGACATACATTTTCCTCTTAGCACCTTAGGTATATACCTCTTTGCCAGCGTTCTAGGTGGCTCTGGTGCACTCTAAAGTTGTTACGGAGAGGGATGACGGTTTTATGCAAGGCAATATGGGGAGTTTGGGGAATGGTTATGGAGCAGTATTGTTGGAGATGAGGTAACCAGTAAAAACACTTATTGCATTGGTAAACTTACATGACATAAATGTTTTACAGGGTATCAGCACTAAAATGTATGTTATACTGCCAATAAATTAGAGGGATAGCTGATGTAAAAAGGAGCTTCTTCTTTAAATTTAAAATGTCTACATCCATACAACTGTGGTTATCTCAAATGAACATTAAAAAAGAAAAATAAGAAGAAAAGGACCTTTTTTCTAGATATCTATGGCAAACTCTGGAAAAAATTGAACTATCTCAGTAGTGATCTCAAACCAGACTTCTGTAACTTACTGCTTGAAAAACGACTATGTGACTATCTTCATGTCCTGTTTATATAGCATGTGACAGTTACATACAGAGAAATGGAACCAAAATTCCTTCCAAATGTTTTGTGTCCCCTTGATCTTTTAAGAGTTGCCCTGAGTTTGCATACTGAAGTTTTTAAGTATTGTGGCGATTTGTTGCATAACGAATGGAAGGGTATGGTTGTGGAGTGAGAGAAACTGGGTTTGACTCCTGTTTCTCCTATTCACTATGAGGGTATTTCAAAAATTCATGGAAATTTTAATTAAAAGATGATTTTACTTGGGTGCAAAAAAAATTGAAATCCATACATAGCTTTTTATAATATGCACTGTGACCTTTTTGTAGACCTCTCATACATTCTTGGGCAAGGTGTTTGAGTCTCAGCATCTATACCTGTAAAATTGGGTTGCTACTTACATAATAGGAATTTTTCCAGGTATCAGGAACTTTTTCTAAATTTCTTAGATTCTCTAAATAAATTTTTTCTCTTAAAAGAGTAATGGAAGAAGCTAATGATTTTGGCAGTCTCATGAAGGCCTCCCCACTCTTCCAGGTTCTCCATCCAACCACACATTCCTACATTCATCTTCCACCCGGATACACAGCGGGCTTTCCTCGCCTGGGTCAGCGATTCTCAGCCATGAATGCACATTAGATTTGCTTGAAAAGCATTTAAAATACCATTTACAGGAACCTGTTCCAGATGAAATTAATCATAGCTCTGGTGTCCAGGCCCAGAACATTTTGTGAAGGCTCCCCACGTGACTGTGACGTGCAGCCAGCGTGAGGGAACCACTGGCCGAGGTACAATGGTCTACACGTTTGGCCTGGCATTAAGCTCCCACAGTCTAGTGCCAAGCTACTTTCCTGTTTCCTCCTCAATTGTCCTTGTCTTCTACTCAAATTCCTCTGTCCCTAGTTCATAAAGACACCTAAAAACATCCTAAATTCCCTGCTTTGCTTGATTTAAAGCAGTGTCCTTGCCTGTCTACTTTTCCGAATTTCTGTCGCCGTCAGAACTTAATTGCAATCCTTCTTCTATGATTTTTTCTTTGTCTCTTCTCTTCAGAGCTCACTCTCTACAACATTTATCTGGTATCTAAATACAGAGTGCCAACTTCTTAGTCATCATTTAGTTTCACATTGAACAATGAAATGCTTTTAAGGTACACACTTGGTTTCCCCAAATAAACTCTATAAACTTGTTAGAAATAAGAGTTTACGTTATCTCATTTAGAACCTGGCCCCCACCTCCCAACCCCACTGTCCGCTATGGTATCTTTCACTTGGGGGCGGGGGTAGGGGTACTCAATAAACATCTGTGTGGTTTTCATTACATAAAAAACACTGTTTTATTTTGTTGTTGTTGAAACTGACAATTTGCAGACAACTCCCTCTGCCTTGCAGTAAGGGTGTAACCACTCCCCACCCACGCTCTCTTTATCACCCTGCTAAAGACGAAGCTCTGGAATCAGAAACATCTGACTTTAAACACTAACTCAACCTCCTAGGGGCCAGGTAACCTTAGATAGTTCATGGCCTCACTACACATGGGATTTTTTAACACCTAAAATTAGATGACAATGATTACCTTTGTGCAGATGACACCATTGTCACATTAGCTGAGAAAATAGTATTATTTTGTTTTATGAAGTGATAACATATGCCTATAATCATTCCCTAACAATTCCCTTCAGGCCTCTTTAAATGATCATCAACACAGCCTTCGTTACACCAGATGTGACAGGCAAAAAGCTCTGGCTTATGACTTTGTCATTACCTGTCCCTTAATATGCTCCACAGCTCGCCACCTAAGCATGCCTCCAGAAGCATGTAGACGTACTTGTTATCCTTGAAAGTTCGATACAGTCTGTGAAGACAGATAGAAACATGGATATTATTAGAAATCTAGCTTACAAACCTCTTTAAACTTGCTTAAAGACTATCATCAATAACATTTTGAACAATGAACTTCCTCTTCATACAGACATCTTATAGCTACATTGGGCATCTTGCCAAATTCTCTTTGATCTTCCCTATGGCCTTGCTTTTGCTCATTTGGATCTCTCAGACAGCCCTTCCTCTACCCACAGACTGAATTTCTTAATCCCAGATTCAATGTCAAAGTTTCTATTCATTTATCAAGGCCAAGATCCAAGGCCACCGTCTTCAGAGAGCAGGTCACTGTCTCAGCTATCAAATCCTTCCTCCAGAAAGCCAGACACCTTGGTACATGTCACTGTGAAAACCATTTTGTGTAACGGTGATTCATGCCCAAGTCTGGTGTACCCTAGATATTCAACTGATGTTGGAACCCACTGGAAGAAGACTCTGACACTGACACTGGTAAGCTATACACTGAGTGGGCTGTGCACAGGGGAGTACCATGGGAGGAAAGGAAACAAATCCAGGTGGAAGGAGAGTAGAGTTATGGTCTAGTTTCAACAAAAGCCCCAACTTTAAGGGACTCTGCTCTTCTTGGACACAAGATGTCCCTGGAGAGAAAGTATGACCTTGGGCATCTAAGAATGATGCCCACAGAGGAGGTAAACTAGAGTTCCCAGCTAGTGACACTCTCAGGAGCTGGGGAGATGGTGTCCTCAGTCTTGGAGTGGGACGTAGGCAGGGTACCATAATCAACACTGGGGGAAAGCAGTTTCTGGGTAGTAATAATCAAAGGAGCCCCTTTTTTCCTTAGGCCCATGCTCAAGCCAAAGCAGACAGCAGAGCAGCTACATCACGTAGGAGTAAAAGCAGCAGTCTAGCAAAGTGGTTCAGAGTGAGCTTGGCAACCAAGCTGCCCCAGCTCCACTATCAGATAGGACATTTATTAACTATGCAACCTCAAATGTATTGCTTGGACATATATATTCATTTGGTTATGGATCGATCATATATTATTAACGATACATTTTATTAAATATAGAGATATAAATATAGGTGGCTGATATATGTTAATTTCTTAATACATGTTGTCATTAGCATTTAATTCCTAACATTATTATTGCCCTGTTATATGCCAGATACTTTGTAAAGAGCTAGAAATGAGAAAATGAACACAACCAAATCCATGCCCTGAAGCTGCTCATCATAGACTGTTAATGAAATATTAATTCAAAAAGGGCATCCTGAGAACATAGTTAATATAAAGATAATTGGATGACTCTCTATTGCCAGCATTGCCTTGGTTCAGACTTTTTTTTTTAATCTTGGAAAAAACACGGGTCTGGGAATTTGGAGAGGCAGTAAGTTTCTCTCAAGGCATTTGATCAAAAAGCATAAATTCTATTCATTATAGGGACACTTTACATGACCTAGAAATCGCTAAAACTGCACTCTGGGGCATTAAGACATATGAAAACAAAAACTGCCTTACCCCACTAAGCCATGAATGCCTAAGTGAAGAGAGCTGGGGCCTAGAATAACATTTTTCCCCTCCACATTTTAACGGTAGCTACAGAAAAAAGAACAACTAACAAGAGGTGGTTCTCTTGGTGCTTAGGCACTTCTAGGGTCAGGGTATTTCCTCTCCGTAAGGCTACAGGTCACTTCCTGCAAAAACTCAACATGAGCACGCTCTCCAATGGGTTCATAGAATTCTTGCTTCCTTATTCCCAAATTCTGCAATAGGTCTAGTAGACACACACACACACACACACACACACACGAAGCTTACTCAAGAAGAAAATCAGCTGCAAAGCTCTCACTCCAGATCTCAAATTTCCAACTGTTGCTGTGACTTCAACGGAAGAATCAGAGTGCAGCCTCCCTCTTGTCCTCTCCAGTCTATTATCTCGCATGAAAATATTCAAAAGACCCTAAAAATCAATCTTAAGTCTGGGCAGGCCAATTGCTCACTTACTTCACAATGAATGGAGAACACAACTCTTCCAAGATCCTCTTTTCTGAGTAGACATGCTCCTGTTGCTTAGTGTCCACTATGTGCTTCTTCCTTATACACTTCATTGCAAACGCAACATTCTCATTTTTCACTTTAACCTAGGTAAGGAATGGAAGGAGTCTTTAAAATTAAATTTCTGGGAAAGATTTGAAGTATACATCAAAAACATGAAGTATATATCTAAAGCAGTTAACATTGTTTTGCATTTAAATAGTATAGATAAAGTTCAAACTCTTATCCTTCTAGAACTGAATTCCATTTAGGTGTACAATACTATCTTCCATCATAATTTCCAAAATAAGTCATATATTTGGTTTTAAAATGTGTGTACTGGGGCCGACGCTGCGGCTCACCAGGCTAATCCTCCGCCTTGCAGTGCCAGCACACCGGGTTCTAGTCCCGGTCAGGGCACCGGATCCTGTCCCGGTTGCCCCTCTTCCAGGCCAGCTCTCTGCTGTGGCCCGGGAGTGCAGTGGAGGATGGCCCAAGTGCTTGGGCCCTGCACCCCATGGGAGACCAGGAGGAAGCACCTGGCTCCTGCCATCGGATCGGCGCGGTGCACCGGCTGCAGCACGCCGGCCGCGGTGGCCATTGGAGGGTGAACCAACGGCAAAAGGAAGACCTTTCTCTCTGTCTCTCTCTCTCTCTCACTGTCCACTCTGCCTGTCAAGAAAAAAAAATGTGTGTACTGAAAATAAGAAAAAATTTATTGAAAGATTTAATATTTAGAGATTTAATTTTCTATTTTGTATAACATGAAAAACTGACCTTTGCTTTAAAAAGCTGTTAATATCTGTTTCTTTGATTTTGCAAGCAAAGCAAACTAAAATCTACTTCTACATGTGCACTACTGAATAAGGTAACCATTCATTCATGAAGTTATTTAAATTTCAATTAATTAAAAATCCAGTTCCTAAGTGGCACCAGCCACATCCACCCACTGGTTATGCCATTAAACAGCACAAACACATTTCCATCAACCCAGAAAGTTCTGTTGGAGAGTGCTGCTCTAAATGCACAATCAGGATTTTCCCAACAAAGAAAAGGAAGATTTTGCAGTAGGTGTTTTTCTGACAGATGTAAAGCTCCATAGAAAGATCACACTAAACAAGTAACTTGATGGTGCAGAGCTGACTGGTACCTCATGCGTTAGCACATTTGCCATTACTGTTGCGTATGACTGTCAATCAATCGTGCAACTATTGCTTCAATTATTAATATCGAGGAAAACAGATCTCAGTATTGTTAGTTCAATCCTTAGCCATGGGTTTTGGTGAGAAACATCACTGCTAATGGATACTACCTTTATCTCTCCCTATGGCCTAAGACATTACAACTGTCCTTTGCCTTTGTAAAGAACATCCCATACTCCTGTCAAAGAAGAAATGTACTGGGGTTGAGGTGCCCAGGCCAGAGTCTCCTGCAGCATTTCCAATCTACTTGTGCCCGGGGCCATTGAGCAGATGGAGGTGTCAGCAGAATTCTTGAGGTTGGTGATGTCCAGTGAACCATTAGCAATTTGATATGCAAAGAAGGACCGGGCAATTGCTAAGGGTTCTGAGCCATCCGTACCCAGTAAGCTCACAGATCTGCACTCTGCAGCATCCTCAGAACACTCAATCAGACAGCAGCCCTTCTGCTGCTCCTTGGAGGTTGATAATCAAGCCCAGACGGGCAGTGAGGTGGCAAACAGAAAGGAAACCAGACCAAGCTCAACACCACAGAGGGCTGGTTTTCATCTTCTTTTCTTTATTTCTGATAGAAAATTTGAGCAACCTCCCAAAAGAGGAAAATGAAAGCCTAATACAGGCATGAGCGTGGAGCTGCTTCAAGGATAACTGTAAATTTCTGCAGGACACACTCTCCTTTTCTTTGCTGACAGGCAATGAATATGTCATGAGCATTTATATAAACACATTTTGCTGTTGAAAATACACTTTTTATGTGTTAGAACACTTGGGAAGGCCTATTTGATACATTCTCTGATAATTACCATCAGGAGAAAATTAAAAAGGATGCAATGAAAGGAGCTTGAAATCACAGCTAATTATTACCCACTACTTACTAGCACAGACCTGCTACCATACAATATACAGAGTGAAAAATTTACTTTCTCGATTTCAGCTGAAAGCAATGTTTAAGAGAGCAATAACAATTCACATTTTCCTCCAAGATAAGCTGGAATATAAAACAACAACGGTCAAAAAGGCTTCTCTCAGATGCTTGAAACGTAAACCCCTTACAAGCTCAACTCTTCCGAACCCACCAACGCCCAGTGTTGCGATAATCTCAAGGTTCTGGAATGGGGATGATGAGGAAAATCGGGCCACCTTCTCCTTCAGCTGAATCATCTCCAGAGAGAGCGCTTTGGACAGCTTCCAGCTAGACATGGACCTCCTGGAGGAGAGAAGGGAAACTTTACGCACGCCCCTGTAGTCAGGCAGCAGTCATGCCACACATAGATCCTAGGCTTACAACAGGCTTATTTCTGCCTGTAGTTGCCATAAATAACTACCTCAACTTTGATAGGATCCGATTCAGGCACATCTGGAGAGAAAACCAATGAGACACACAAACGACACACACCCTAAGCAATACGTGGAAATCAAATTGAATCAATAAAGACGTAAAATGGGTGAATTTTTGTAGTGTTTAAAATATGTCTCAATGAAATCATTAATGGTAATGAAATCCAGAAAGGCATTTCCATTGCTGGCCATACAGGAACGTGTCACCCTAGGAATGTCGGTCATGTTTTGCTATTTTTATCAGATCTTGAAGTTTGCATGGCTCACCCAGAATAAATTGGTTTACAAAACATGAACAGTACATCTCTTCCTTTATATCTAAATATTGTTGTTTGGAAATACCCACATTACTCTTCTAATTAAGGCTTGCTGCTCTGAGTCTTAAATTCACAAATTATTACTGTCAAAAGCTTTTGGCATAAAATTTGCAAATATATTCCTTGAAAAAACCTATTTATGTACTGATTAAATACTCTACTTTAATTGAAACTTCAGTTTTCCAGAAGTTTTTTTATCATACAGCTTCAGTAACATGATCTGCTTAACATAATATTTCAGTATCCACTCTTAAATAAGTTTTCGGAGAATAATTTCCAATGAGTAGAGTTTTCTATTAAACTAAAAGATTTTCATTACTATTGCTACATTTATACTCCAATTTAACTCTCCCCCTCTGCACACACATCCCTAGACAATAGCTCCCTCATATTTTGAAAAATTCTGACTGTAATCCTGCACCTTGCCTGTAATCAGGTATTAATGTCCCTTTGAGCTAGGTTACTAGACAACGTAAAAAAAAATCTCTTTCCAAGAGTCCCCAGTCAGGAAATTTCCAACCTTACTCAACACCTAAAATAAAAAAGCCAACTTATTTTACAAAAACACTTCCAAAAGTTCAAGGGGAATGGCATTCTAAAATAAGTTTATTTTGATGCTAAAAAAATTGAAATCCATGCATAATTTTTTAAATACACATACTCCTCCAACTTACAGAAGACCCTTCCTAGACTTAAATGACCCCCATTCTACTGGTAAGTGGTATCTTTGCAGAAGAACAATGAAAAACACTCCCAGCATTTTCTAATGAAGGCAGAGTAAAAATTACCACCTGGGGAATCATACCCCGAAGTCCCCTCCCCCCTTCATCAGCAACCAGAGATCACATCCAGTTTAGGAAAATGTCCCTGCACTTACTTTGCATGTCTTTTTTCATCATCACGGTTCAGGTTTGCCACATACCCTTCAAGGTATTTCTGGAGATCTTCGAACGTGCCAACAGTTTGATTGAACGTTCTGAATAAAACAGTACAAAATAGAACAAAATAAAATCCCTGTGTTGATAATCACCAAGAAAATGTGACATTTGTCTTAAGCTTATGAGAGACTAACTATATGGATATGTATGACTTTGGTAGTTGGTTTTCAATAACTTAAAGAATATTAAAGTTACCATGATATGTAGAATTGATATTGGAAACTGTATCATTGATCCTTTGTGTTTACAAATCAAAGGAGGCAACCAATGAGAAGAAAAAGCATTTCTCATCATTTTCTGCCTTGCATTTTTGGTTTGCCAATCATTTTTCCCTTCAGATTTGCCCCCCACAATCAACGATGGAGATGTCACAAATCACACCTTCCATTTGCTTCGAGCTCTTGCCATAATGAGTTTTGCACATGTTTTACATTTTAAAAATGAGAAGTATAGTTCTAACCTTAACTCTCCTTTCACTGTATTCTCTCTAAGCCTGTATTCAAATCCTGAATTAGGAAGGAGGAAATAAAAAGCCATAGGCGTTCACTCACTACATTTCTTGCAAAGATGGTGCCCTTTATTCGCTACCATCTGGTGAGCATCCCATATGCCCAAGACTATGTCAGATGCTGGCAGTGCAGCTGCAGTGAGCAAGTTACTTGTTTCCGCATTCATGAAGCTTACAGAACATTGAGAAGACAGATGTGTTTTTAAAAAGCAGAGTGTGAATAATGATATGATAAGCTATACACAGTGCTCTGGGAACATCATCACAGGCTCTTTATACACTCTATAAGACACTGCTAGGAAGACCATATGATTTATCATCCAAATTGGGATACTTTTCAGAATGAAATGAGGTGTCAATACTAACTGTGATGGGGTAGCCAAACTGTATCAAGAAACTTGGATGTAAGTCAACCTATTATTAGCAAACTCAACTTCTCTCACCCATAAGAAAAATCACATAACATTGTAATGTCTCATTATGTCCAGTGTAGTACTACATATGCTATAGACTTTCTGATATACACAAATAGATTAACATTTTAAAATTATAAACTTCCAAGTAATTTGTAAAGTATGTAAAATCATCAGTTCCTTTTCATGAATTATAAATACATGAGATATCACATAAACATATCTGATCACAGAGTAAAGGAGTTGTTTTTTTTCTTATGTATCTTCAGTGCTAGCATTTTGGAGCAATTTATAAGATTTTATCACATAGCTAATGCTATTCAGGGCATGTAAATTTTTTAAAAGATTTATTTGAAAGGCAGAGTTACATACAGAGGGGAAGATATAGAGGTCTTCCATCCACTGATTCACTCCCCAAATGGCCGCTAACCACTAGGGATAGGCCAGGCCAAAGCCAGAAGCCAGGAGCTTCTTCCAGGTCTCCCACATTAGTACAGGGGCCTAAGCACTTGGACCATCTCCGCTGCTTTCCCAGGCACGTTAGATGAGTTGGACGGGAAGTGGAGCAGCTAGAATGGGAACTGGCACCCATATAGTATGCCAGCACTGCAGACAGCAGCTTTGCCTGTTCCGCCACAATGCAGGCTCCACATGTAAATGTTTTTTAAGGAACTCTACAAAAACAAGTATTACTGGGATAGCATTACACCAACATAATTTCTGCTTGACAGTTGATTTTCAAACATCCCTTATATCTGAACACACTCATAATTTAAGCCCATTTCCACTCTTTCTAAAGTAATATATTTGTTTATTTATTTGAAAGGTAGAGTTATAGAGAGACAGACAGAGACAGAGAGACAAAGACAGAGAAAGAGAGTATTCCCTATTTCTTTGACTATACTAATATAGCTTTGATATGTTAGAATTTCCCTTATTGTACCCAGCAGATAACCAACAAACATTTCACTGATCAGTATGAAATCCAAAGAGCCTGATTCAAATAGGATTTGTATTAAGTGAAAGATACAATATGACACCTGTTCTGAAAAATAATCCAATACCTTCAGAAAGTAATATTGACTATAATTTGTTAATATCGATATTGGCACTTACAAATTACTGCAAATGCTAAATTAATACTTCTCTGGAATCACATACAGCTAATGAATGCTCTATACTTTTTCAGAGAGAGCTTTTGCTCCAAACTTTTTAACTGCTGGCCATATTTTAGAAATTAAATTATGAAACTGTCCACTGTGTGGCATAAAAAATCTGTAAGATCTTTAGTAAGATTATTTCTCTAGAAGAAGCAGAATTCAAATCAGTCTATGGCTGATATTTATGTACAAACTTTGAACACAAAATATTTAGCCTGCCAGCATCTGCCACTGTCACAGACAGATTCTGATCAAAAGATCCAGTACACTGCCATGAATTTTAATAGAATGTACTCTCAGCTGAGGTTTGGCCAGCATTTCCAAGTGGTGATGAATAAGAAAACAGATCGGCACCCTAGAGCAGCAGCAGAACAAGGCTTCAAAAGTGGCAGCAGCCTGCCTTCTCCAACATCAGGATACTCACTCTCGGTCAATAACCAGACAGGCGACATCATTTTCTTCAGCAATAATGTTAGCTGATCGGACATCATCACTGCAGACAGAAAAGGAAAGTCAATTTTCATTACATTTAGAAATTAAGCATCCATTTTTATTAGGGAATCTACTAGTTTTTTTGGGGGAAAAAGCCATCATTTATTTACACCTTCATAAGATTATACTTTATTATAACATGCTAATTTGTACCCAAGCCCTTTCCCCTCCAAAAAAGGGGCACTTGAAAGGTTTCTCCAGTGAGGGAGATGGACACAAAGAATCTGCGAATGCAGAGAAAGAAGCAAGCACACCAGCTCTGTGTGGAATTTTGCTCTGAGCTTGTGACTGCAACAATGAAACAGCTCTCCCCTGATCCAACAGAGAATCAGCAATCAGCAAGGAGGCAAAACTGAATCAGCTGATTAGAGAAGTTGGTTGGGAAAACAGATAATTAAAATACGATAAACCCAAGAGTAAAACCCAGTAGCATATCACCCAATGTATTAAATAAATACGGATAGACTTTCTCATTTCGCAGCATAAAGGGTATATCATCCATTAACATCTCTGAAATCACAATGTACCTTAGAATTAATGAGTAACTGTGTAATTAACTGCATTGTCTTTCTTCTCAGGGATATATAATGGAATGCACAACTTAGAACTGACATCTTAGATACAATAAATTATATTATCCAATGATGGTAAATTTAATTACCTAAGAATAACAACAGGTCACATGTCAGGTAAAGTATTCTTCTGGAGACCTTTACATATATTGGTTTCCTCTCTCTATTAGTTATACACTCACTGGAGAAAGGCACCTCAAAGTGGTACCCAGTGCTCTGAGATTCATTTAGGGTGACCAAAGAATAACAACCACATCCTGGAGCAGGACCCTTTGGGACTGCTCTAGGAACCATCACCAAGAATGGCATCAAGGAAAACATTTTTCCTTCGTTGTTCATTAGCATCGGGACAGAGAACATTTGGCAGCACATCATGACCATCCCAGGGAAGTGCCCTAACCACCCAGCAGACATCGAGAGTGCTCCTGATACAATGCACAGACCCTACCGAGTTTACAGGCTCTTTGCGAGAAGATGCTACTGAAACTACATAAGATTCATGGATGTTTCCATCAAGAGCAGGATAGTCTGTTCTAAATTTATGTGTGAAAAGAGATGGAGATGATGATGGAGTTGGAGATGGAGGTGATGGAGATGATGGGGATAGAGACAGATGGTGGAGATAGAGGTAGATAGGTCAAGCATAGACATAATAATAGACACGATCGTGGATTATGCCATATTTCATTTGCCAGTTTAGAGAAGGGAAAGGTATGGCATTCTTTTCACATGTCAGTGTCATGATCTTGACTCAGAATATTCTCAGCAAACACTTTATAAGTATGAAACAGTCATAAATACTCATGTTTCTTTCATAGTAACTGAGTGTCATGGATTTAAGTTTTTTTTTAAAGATTTATTTATGTATTTGAAAGTCAGAGTTACTCAGAGAGAGAAGGAGAGGCAGAGAGAGAGAGATAGAAAGTCTAGAGAGAGAGGGGTCTTCCATCCACTGGCTCACTCCCCAGATGGCCGCAACAGCCAGAGGTGTGCTGATCCGAAGCCAGGAGCCAGGAGCTTCTTCCGGGTCTCCCACGCGGGTACAGGGGCCCAAGGACTTGGGCCATCTTCTATTGCCTTCCCAGGCTGAATCTGAGGTGGAGCAGCCAGGACTCGAACCGGAGCCCATATGGGATGCTGGCATGCAGGCAGTGGCTTTACTCGCTACGCCACAGCACAGGTTCCTTGGATTTAGTTTTATACATAAAATGTTGAAAGAACTCCCAGGACTACTCAATGTCAAGTCATGGAAGTGCATAGAATATAAGGAGTATAGAGTCATAACAGCAGCTCTAGAATGTGATAGAATAAAAATGCACAAAAATGTAAAAATACCATCTTCAACTTTTCTTCCCACTGATTTCAGCTTTATGGTTTCAAAGGCTTTGACCTGGTATTGGACATATGGTCAGTCCTATGTTTCTCCCAGGATAATGCTGTAACTGGCTACTTGCAACATACACCATAAAATATTACAATTCCAGCAAACCAGGTAACCTATTTCCTTTTAACAGCTATTTTGCCTCTATACTGCATTTATTAAATTCTGCGCAGGGCCCAGTTCATGGTGCAGCAGGTTAAGCCACCGTTTACAATGCTGGACACTCATACTGAAGTGTTGGCTCAAGTCTGGCTGCTACACTTCCGATCCAGCTCCCTGCTAATGCATCAGGGAGGCAATAGATGATGGTGAAATACTAGGTTCCTATCACCCATGTGGAACATCAGGACGGAGTTCCTGGATCCGGGATTCGGCTTGGCCCAGACCTGGCTGTTGTGTCCATTTGCAGAGTGAACAAGCAGATGGAAGATTTCTCTGTCTCTCCACTCCCTCCCCGCCCCTCTCACTCTCTCTTTCAAATAAATACATATTTAAATATTTTTTAAAAATAAAGTTCTGTGCAATTCTAAGTTTTAGTTGCTTTGCTTAGAATCTGAGAAAAATAACTTCTTATGTTAAGAACAAACGCACTGAAGTCTTGGATAATGAATGTCAGTATTATATTGCATGAATGAGCTGCTCATGTTCTTTAAAAATGAATAAAATAATAGATAATTTCCTTATTATTTAAAAAACTTCATCATCCACTAGAACATGAAAATTCAGCTTACTTTCCAATTTCACTTTTAATTAATTAAGTTATAACTTAATTTACTAATTATTAAGTTTTGATGTTTGAGTTTCATTTAAAAAATAAAAGTTTCCTAACTTTTAAATAATCAAACTTGTCTTTGGTAATTTCTGAATTTTTTTCTTTGTTTTGTACTTAATAAACTTGACATACAAATCACCAGAACTGATGCTTCATAGAAAAAATTCCTTTTCTATGAGCACAAATTTGAAATAAAAGCCATGTAGTCATAACATACCATTTAAGTGATTTCTTAAATAATTTCAACTATTCATTAAAAAACATACTTAGCTCCAAAACAGCATGTTATTCCAAAGCTTAACTTGATATTTTATAAAAGTATTTATATTTAGGAAATGTATTTTTTCAGAGTTGAGGTTTTATGAGTTCCAGGAAGTACAAAGTGTCCTCTGGACCATTTGATTAGCACTTAAAAAGATTTCTTTCATGAATGGGATCAACAGTAAATAAACTCATACCTCAAAAGACTGAAGGTTTAGGTAGAAATTTCAAATAGATTCTATTGAGTTGCTTCTAAGACTTGCAAAATAAACTGATAAAAATTCTTAAGAAAATGTTAAATTTTATGATTTAAAATCACTGAAAACATGTAAAGTAATTATTTTATAACTTTTTTCAAGGGAACTTTTTTAAACAGGGAAATGTTTCATACTTTCAAAATATAAAAATTTATTCTTAAGGGAAAAGGACAATTTTTGCATTTTCAACCTTTCTCACTGATTTTTTTACAACTAAAAATTCTTATAGAACACTAGTTTAATTTTCACTAACAAACGTCAGACTTTCCCATTATTTCCCATGCAAAATTAGTACACTTATTTCCAGCATGACACTGTCTTAAGAAATGAATTTGCAGGGCTGTTGCTGTGGAGTAGCAGGTAAAGCCGCCACCTGCAGTGCCGGCATTCCATATGGGCACCAGTTCTAGTCCCAGCTGCTCCACTTCCAATCCAGCTCTCTACTATAATAGTCCAAATCCTTGGGGCCCTGCACCCATGTGGGAGACCCAGAAGAGGCTCCTGGCTCTTGGCTTTAGATGGGCGCAGCTCCACCATTGCAGCCATCTAGGAAGTGAACCAATAGTGGATAGAAGACCTCTCTCTCTCTCTGCTTCTCTGTAACTCTGCCTTTCAAATAAAATAAATAAATCTTTAAAAAAAAAAAAAAAAGGCCTCTCCCTCTGTAACTCTGCCCCTCAAGTACATAAATAAATCTTTAAAAAAAGAAATGAATTTGCAATTTTTATTTAATCCTGGATATTTGCTGCCATCACTTTGGCAACTCAGTTTGACAACTCTAAATGAGTGACTTCACATGGAAAATAGTCAAAGCATTTTACTTAAGTATGCCATAGAAATTCATGAGCTCACCTGATAAGAGCTTTCTCTCCAAAGTATTCTCCTTTCTGCAGCGTTTTAATCAGCTGTGGCTGATCATGGCCCTCTGTACTCTGTGTAACTTTTACCTAAATGATGTTGAGAGAGAGGGAGAGAGAGAGAGAGATGAAAAAGGAGAATCTGAACACCTATTTAGTCAACCAAACCTTCCAGGTTTAGATAAATTAGATGACTAATGTAAAAGACAAGGCTTTGCTTTGATTTTGCAGTAGTTATATCAAGCTATGGCACTCAGCTCATTTTAATTGTTGTGAGAAATCTCATGGCTTACCATAATCCAATGATTCTAAAAGGAAGACCATCCATTCAAACCCTACCTCTCAAACTTATTTTATACATTAAGAAATTTATAAAAAGCAATTCTTTTCCATAGGTTTTTGGTGAAAATAACAATAGTTCTGTGGAACCTTTTGCTGTTTCAAAATCCTAATTGAGTTGACAAATGAATCAGAATAAGGCTGAGTATCGAGTTCTAAATCTGGCGTATGAAGATTGGGTGACTCCTATGTATCCAATAAATCCAAATGCAAAGTGTGGATTGGAAGAGGGGTCACAACCTTCATGGGAATCCATGGTCCAAGAACCTAGATATTCCTTCCTAGTGGTTAGAATATTTCAATTCACCATGGTAACAGGTTGCTTCACGCTGGTTGGAAACTCTGATTGGCATTCATATATGCCATGGGGAATTAACACTTAAAACATAATAATAATAATGAATGCAACTTGTTCATTAGCTGGACTTTTAATTCTAATTAGCTAGAATTCTGAGCATGAGATCCAGTTTGGGGGAAAATGGTAAGAAGTGATTCTGAGTGTTGAAGACTTCAGAGATTCGAAGCTATTCTGTTCCTGTGTTTCCTTCCCCTGGGGGCCCCGTTTAAAGTTCAACCAGAAGCCAGTTTACAAAGGGCAGTGCCTGGCTCTCCGATGATAACCCCTTCCAGGGAAGAAGGAACACACTAAAAATCCAACAGTGTACAGACGCCTGTGCTTAGGAATTTGCCTCTTTCCTTCAATATTTCACAAGTGCTTTTACATCTGAGGAACACTGCTAATGGTCAACACAGAAACACATGGCAACATATTGTCCACTGAACATTTAGTTAAAAAGATCTACTTATTACCTATTACCTACACTGTAAAGTTTGGGCATCTTAATCAACTTAAGCTCTTGTGCATGAATTGGAAGTTGTGGGCCATACTGGATTCAAAACTTGATGCCTGACCATCGCTGGCCTCCATGGCTGAGTTCATTCTCTTCCATCTGCTGCTTGTCACAAATATTGGATGGGAAAATGTTCTTAGGATCTTGAGCCAATGGAGGATCACATACACATAACAAATAGGAATCTTAGAATAAATCTAGCTATGTTATACACAAAGAAGCTAGGTACAAAGAAAGTCAAGGGACCTGACTTCACTAAGTCAATGGAACTTCACAGTGAAGTCACTGGCTTAGACGGAACCCCTCACAATCTGTGGCTTGTCCCCCAAACTCAACATTCAGACAGAATCCTACAGGACTTTTAGTACATGCTCCTTTACTTGTTCAGTACAGAGGAAGTCTTATGCTACAATACAGAATATTATTTCATTTATAAAAAATAACAAACTTTCCCAATTTATTATAAGTCAGGTTTGATTAATATTTACCTTTCCTTTTGCCAAAATGAAAAAGGTACTTCCCTCCTCACCCTCTCTAATGATGTAATCTCCTTTGTCGTAGTATTCCTGTTGGGACAAGATAGAAAGTAAAGGTTAGATCAAGTGGAGACACCCAACTGAGGGCATAAAGGCAACAGGACACCTGTGTCTGTGAAATGAGTGTTCCACACATGTTTCTTTCATTTTCTGTTTGTTTTAACTGTGAGTTTTTCTTATATTGCAGTCATAAACTGTGGAAAGGCAAGGAGGCTTTTGCTTTATTATTTACACTTATGTTTTTTTTTTCCTTGGAAACATTCAATTTCAGGAACGGGGACCTAAGACATGAAGTGAAATGGCAGCAAGCTAATCACTAAAATGCAGGTGACCTGCACCTAAATCATCCAGCTATAAACTGTTTTGCAATTAGCAATAGTCTAAAAGTTGCCTCTAGAGTTAGAAAAGACAAACAATTATAAAATAAAATACAAATACCATCCATCCCTAGGTGTTGTTAAGAATATTGGTCTCAAAAAAAAAAAAAAAAGAATATTGGTCTTAAATTCTCATTCCTTGAAGATCCACAACTAGGAAGATTCTATGCACACACTAAATAGCTTGGTCATATGTGTCAATTCCAAAGACTTGTTATAAAAGGGCTACATTAGAATTATTTGCATACCAATTCTTCTAAGTGTAGGTTTATTCTCATGAAATTTCAAATTATCATGTCTTTGTATGTATTAATAAACATTTCTTTCTTATATTTTTGTGTGATTAGATAATCCCTGGGCAGCAGAAAGCAATTTATCCACCTGTCAGACCAAAAGAGCAATTCACTATCTTAGAAAACCAAGATGGATTAAACTGTCTGTCTCTACTTTGCCTTAATTTGATCTTGTCTCAAAGTCATGGAACTAAAATGGATCTCTTAATTATTTACACAAACAAAAATGGACTGTTTAATATTCTTAGAGGCATAATTAATAACATAACAGCTTTTATTTTTCTTTTGGGGTGCAAAATAAATGCCAAACTAAACTATTATGTCTGTTGTTTTCTGATATTTTCATGGATATTTAATCTCAAAGACTTCTTAAACCTATAGAATAAATATTACTTTGTCTAATAACTATACCTTTTATTTGCAAAGCACTACATGTGTAAGACATTTTAACATCTCATGGAAGAATGTATAAAATCTTGGGAGTAAAAAGTACTTTGCAGTCAAACAGAGCTAGATTCAAATCCCAGTTCTGTATTGAATTTTACTTCCATGAATCTATAAAATTAAAATAAGGACATTTGCCCTCAAAGACTTAGAGAAATGCATTGGTTTTTCTATTGCTGCTGGAACAAATAACCATAAAACTAGTGGCTTGGAACACCACCCTTTTATTATCTCTCAGTTTCTGTGGGTCAGAAAGTCCAGGCACACCATGACTCAACCAGGTTTCCCTACTACGGTGTTTGAAGACGGAACTCAAGGCAGCAGTAGGACTGTGTTTCTGGAGGTTTGGGGCAAGTCTACTTTCTAGACCATAGAAGTTGCTGGCAAGATTCAGTTGTGGGATCAAGTCCTCATCTGTTCACTGCCTTTCAGTAAGGCTGAACCTCTTCTCCTGGTGGCCTCTGTCAGTGCCTGCCCTGGGCTGCTTGCATCTTAGGGCCAGCAATGGCATTTCAAATTCTTACCCTCGCTCACTAGGCTAATCCTCCGCCTAGCGGCGCCGGCACACCGGGTTCTAGTCCCGGTTGGGGCGCCGGATTCTGTCCCGGTTGCCCCTCTTCCAGGCCAGCTCTCTGCTGTGGCCAGGGAGTGCAGTGGAGGATGGCCCAGGTGCTTGGGCCCTGCACCCCATGGGAGACCAGGAAAAGCACCTGGCTCCTGGCTCCTGCCATTGGATCATGTGCCAGCCGCGGCGGCCATTGGAGGGTGAACCAATGGCAAAGGAAGACCTTTCTCTCTGTCTCTCTCTCTCACTGTCCACTCTGCCTGTCAAAAAAAAAAAAAAAATTAAAAAAAAATTCTTACCCTCAGAGTTGCCCTGCTTTCTACTTCTGCTCCACTGCTCTGACTCCAACCAATGAAAATTCTCTGCTTCTAAGGGCTTGTTGTAATTACGTTCAGCCCACCTCACCAATCCAAGATAATCTCCTATTTTAATGTCCCAAACCCTCAGCACCTCTGCAGAGTTCCCTGTACCACACAACAACATAGTCACACAATATAAGAATTAGGATCTGGAACCTTGTAAGGACAATTGTCCCTACCACGACAAGCCAATCAAAGACAGTGTCTTCCAAGGCACCAAGGGCATCTCTAGCACAGTAAAAGATTAATGATTGCCATATTAAGGACAGAATGATAAAGATTTGCTTAGCTGTTGTTATCTTCTAGACCTCAGTTTTCTGTTGCATATAATTAAGGTTGCATTGCCTACCACACCTCATATTGTTTGAGGAGCAGATAAGAGAGTGTAGCTAAAGTACCCAGTGGTGCTGTTGGTATGTACTAGGCATGTGCTAAGCGTGAGCTCCTGTATCAGAGGCTGCAAGCTGGTCATGCAAGCCTTCCACGGGTCATACAGCTATCCAGGTAGATCACATTCTACGGTCTCCCAGTGGCAACCATGTGATTAACACCTATCTAAAGAATCTGACCAGAACTGACGTGTGCCAGGCCAGGCCCATGAACACTTTTGCAAACGTATCTTCACATATTTTTCCAAATTGGAGTGACATGGACCAGAGCGATCTGGAAAACCATGCTGAAAGGGCAAAAAAGCCATCAGCTTGGCTTCCTGAGTGTCTGTGTGGCGCCAATCAGGATCATCTTTCCTGGACTGTTAGGTCAGTGGGAGCAAACTTCTACTTTATTCAAACAATAATATTTTGAGTTTTTTTGCATCAAGATTTGATTACCCCAACTCTTCATTCTTTCCCATTTTATTAAAAATCTTCACAATATACAAGTTTGATTTCATTGCAGACATGATTATGATCCTTAAGGAGTAGCCACAAAACTACGGTCTAGGTGTCCTCATTACATCTTTGCTAAAACTGCTGGGGTCACGTTAGATGTTCCTGCCTCAGGGAATCTGCCCCCAGCTCCTTCCTGTTCCCACCCTGGTCTCAGTCCCTAGCATTCACAAGCAACAGAGGAATATGGAGAATTGCTCCAGCGCTGCGAGGCTGTTCTCTGTGTACAGAGTTGTGGCCCCTAATTCCTGTCCATGAGATTCATTCAAGGGGAGAAATCCTGAAAGAGGACACTGAGAAAGAGCTTTGTTATTTCTTAGGGACAGCCTTCCTAGTGGTATTTTTCCCAGGGATGATTCTTTGTCACCCCAAACCATGGAAGGAAGATAAATAATACCTCCCAGTGTGTTGACAGTAACTTCATAGATCAGAAAAGACTGTGGAAATAGGTCAGACCAAAAATATATAGTGGTGAGTCCTGGCTGTGATGCTAGACTACCCAGTGTTTGTCAACTGGGGAGGGCAGCCAATTGAGTCAGGGTGGTCAGCGAGACCAAAAAGAGAAATACAAACAGTGTGGTTATTGTCCTGTGGCTACATTGCAAAGGGGTCTCTGAGAGAAGCAAGAAGCCATAGACCCTAACTTGTAGAGTGATGATTCTCATGCATTTTTTCACTTTGAACTACAGTAAGAAATACATATGACATTTATACCCAAAACACATACAAGAACATGCACACATACAGATATTTCTAGAAAATGAAAGCATATTTTCCAAAATAATGCTTCCTACTTAGATTTTTTGAAAATGTTTCTCTAAATCAGTTTTGTGACCTAGTAATGAGTTGTCATCTACAGTCTGAGAAAGATGTTTTCAAAGAAGATGTTTAGGAGCAGACATTTGACCTCTGCTCCCACTTCTAGCTTCCTTCTGATGTGGAACCTGAGAGGCAGCAGGTGATGGCTCTATTACTTGGGTCCTTGCCAACCACATGGGAGGCTTGGATTGACTGCTCAGCTCCCAGTCTCAGCCTGACCCAGACCAGCCATGGTAAACATGTGAGGAGTGAAACAACAAATGAGAGTTCTGTCTGTAACTCTGTCTTTCTCTTTCTCTGGCTGTCTGTCACCCTGTCTCTCAAATAAATAAATATTTAAAAAGTAGAAAGAAAAGAAGATATCTAGAAGATTTAAGAGGGTTTATTTGGTAAATGGCAAGAGGGGCAAATAAGAATTCAGTGATAACCTGGGAAATGCCGGACCCTGTGCACCTGTAAGGAGCCTATAAAAACCAAAGGAGATTCCAAGGTGATGGAGGGAAACACAAAGGAGCAAGCCTGCGATTTCCTTAGTCTTCAGTGTGTGACCAGACCTGCCATTAGAAAGTATGGATGATATACAACTAATGCACAATACACCAACACACACACCCTTCCATGTCCCATGTGCCTATGTACTCACGTTTGTTTAAAAATTTTATAGTTTTTTTGGGTTGTTACCAGGTGTGTGTGTGTGTGTGTGTGTATGTGTGTGTGTGTGTGGGGGGGTGTTCTCCAGGTACCATACTTAAAACGTCTTAGAAATTTTCAAGCAACACATCTGGATCAGATGAATGCTGTCAACAACTCAGGCATGATTTAGTACCTGGTTGGTTTTGTTCAAGGAACCATATCCTACAAAAGGAAAATCAAAATTGCTTACTCCCCTTTTGGATGTACCAACTCTATAGAATTCTACCAATTTAAATACCAATGAGGTGGCAGACTACCTATATTTTGTGGTTGGGGAAACTCCAATGTCCACCACAATTAACTGACAGCAGGTGGTGATGGAGGTAGAACCACACCTTATTCTCCAGACTTGGGTTGGTAAACTTTCTACAACACCAGCTGTCCCACCTATCATTCACTGGATCATAAACTGTCAAAATTCACAATTATCTCGACTTTCTTAGGGCTCTGGATGTCATCATTAAAATGACACAACTTCTTTGTCTTATGCAGCCATTAGTAAGAAGAAGTAATTAGAAAAAGAAATTAAACTTTAAAAGAATGATTAAAAATGGAACATTCCTGAGTTAAGAGCCAGACTGCAGCAAAAACAGATGCATCCTTTTCATAACTAAACTAGTGCTTCTTAAGCTTTAGGAGCTGAAGCATCCCATCATTATCATGCTAAGATCTGAATTTGGGGGCCCTTAATGGGGTTTCTGGTTCAATCTGTGTGGGGTGGTGCTTGGCCACCAACATAGCTGGGTCTGAGTAAGGGTGAGGACTTTCCACCCCACTGCACCCGTGGCTTTGTGAAAGGGCACCACTGGGTCCAGTTCCAGAATCCTGTGAGAGTCAGGGAATGCCACGGTTAATCACACGCTTGCAACACAGGACAGCACCATCAAATCCCGTGTTTCCTGTATGCATCACCATGTGTGGGGTGTGTGGGAACATAAACTCCTTTCGCCCCATCTTCTGTCCTGCACAACTGGATCTGTTATGTCTTTTTCTTAAGATGTATTTATTATTTGAAAGTCAGAGTTACAGAGGGAAAGACACACACACACACACACACACACACACAAGAGAGAGAGAAAGAGAGCTTCCATCCACTGGTTCAGTCCCCAAATGGCCTCAATGGCCTAGGCTGGACCAGGATGAATCCAGGAGCCAGGAGCTTCATCCAGGAGCTGGATGAAGAGTGGAACAGTTGGAATGGGAACCTGTGCCCATATGGAATGCCAGGATCACAGCAGGTGGCGTAATCCCTAGGCCACAACACAGGCCCCCATTAGTTAACTCTGAAAGCACACGGTGAGAATGTTGGTATTATTCCCACACTCACTTTCTCATCAGAATGCAAGAATAGGCTTAAAGTCAACAGCTGCCTCTAGAAGTCAACGTTCTCATGATTTAAGCTAAAGCAAATTCTACCACTGGAGCTCCACACGGCCATGGCCATGTGGTGTAGGAAGTCCCCAGTCTAAGTCTTCAGAAACACATCAGGGCCGAATGCTTTGTGATGGGAAACTCTGCACCCCCTTCAACTCCCACCCCCTCCTCACACTCCAAGAAAGCTCCCAAATCCACCTCTAAGCAGTATGACAGATCCAGTCTGTTTTTCCCACAGATTATGAAGCCAGTGTGTGGGACAGCCAGCCCTGGAACTCAGCGGGGGCGCTGTCATAGCTCTGGTGCCTTAGGGACTGGTGTTGTCAGGACCCTGTTGATGGGTCATTAGTCCAAGCTATGCTGCTAAGTCGTGTGTTTTCTTAGAGCTAAATAGATCCATTACTCCCTTGCTAATCACTTTCACGTTTGAGAATTTGCACACATTACAGAGACACATTTGTTTGCTAGGTATGAATAAAGAGCCCTTTATTAACTGTGCTGTCTGCAAATACTGAGATAGCCTAAAACTTTGCCAGGGTGTTTGAAAAGATGAGACTTTTCAAACTCAAATTGTGTGTTAATTAATGCGGGATCTGAGGCCCCATCTATGTATTCTGTAGCTATTGCCTGTAGTTGCTATAAATATGTCTAATTTACCATTTATTTTTAATGATGCTAAATTTTCATATTTTCTGTCAGCATGGAATTCCCCTCTGGTGAATCTACTCTATTAGTATTATATTAAAAACAGATTTCCTCGGTTAACAAAAAATATAGGGCTTCACTAACTTTAAAAAAATGCCCTCAGAAATTAGGATGAATTATTAATTTGCAACATCTGTGACTGGGTTATGTTACACTGAGAAAAGTCCCAAGAGATGCAGGGTAAACAGACTTCTTGAAAATGACTTCATATCCGAACCCCCTGGGGACACAGGGCCGGGCACTGTGTCATCATGGTCTGTCCTTGATAAACTGCTGGATGGGTTCCATGAATTGTAAATGGAAACATCACTGGTGTCACTTACACTTAAGGATAAAATGGCCCCCGCTCCCTTCTCAACAGATATTAGTTTACATTGTATGTTGTGATTGACAGAGGTATGAATCTGTCAACAGTCAGTCTCGGAGGGTTTTTTCCCCCTCCCACTGAGAACAGCTTTATAAAAGCTTAAAATCTCCATGTGATTCCTTTACTATTCCCAACCTCCTTTAAATTCCATGAAAGCCATTTTGGATTCAAGGAAATTGAGTCTCCAAAACGTTAGAAAGGCTATTTGCTTTGAATTTTAATCTCTGAAATCTGAAGAGGTTTTCATAAAATGTGTATCACTAGAATCCAAGGTACATGTCATAAGAGCATTATTCATAGAACTTGCCTAGTCTTGGACTTGAACCAACCAAACCAACCATCTGGGTGATGCCTAAAATGAGTTTTTGAACACATTTCAATATCCTGTTTTCCCCTAGATGTTAAAATAGGTACAGTGCTTCTTAAGTACAGGTTTCTTAGGAAGCATTTTCACGGCCTAGAGAGTTCACGTACAGAGCACTTCACAGTCCAATTCAGAAGCGAAGCGTGTCACCAACACACCCCTTTCTCTGCTACATTTCCCAACTCTGCCTCATTGACTCCTTTATGCTATGAAACTCTGTATGGGATTGTGATGTTAATTGCAGAAAACCAAACGCCTCAAGTAAGACAAATTACTTTTATAAAATATGCTAAAAGATTAAAATATGTAAATCAAATTTCACTTTACACATGCAAATAAAATCCATTTTAATACATTTCAATAGAGTGTACACCTTTCCCAGCCCCTTAATCAACATAAGTTGGCCTATGTTTTGCCACAATGAAAAAGGCTCCTGATTTCTGCAGACTGATGATCTACTATCTTTTCCTTTTTATTCATTTACATTGCTAATAATACTAGATTCTAGAATCTTCTAATGAATTTTATTTTTTATTTTACAATCTCTTACCACTTCCAAGCAGTCGATGATCTTGGTTAATTTATCTTCAGGTAAGTTCTTCAGCAAGGATACACTTCAAAATTAAAAAGAAACCTTTTTTTAAAATTATCTCCCTGTATAAATATATACATAGATTGTGTGTAGATTCTGAAATTTCTATATTCATCTTAAAATATTATGTACAATAATCTTTCAAATAACAGGAAACACTTGTGTAGCTAAATTTCATATATATAATCACAGACATTTAAAACAGGTAAATAAATGAAAATAGTAACATGTCATAAAGGAAAGAAGACCATTTTGTGCCTCTATTGGGGGAAAATTATACATTTGTTGTTGGTTTTCAAAGTGAATCACACCTGGAAGTGTGTTCCTCTCCCCATCTCTGTATCTTTTCTGTTGGCTTGGGTGAGGATCAAATTTCATCCAAATCTTTGAATTAAGTAAAGACTGAATCCAGAGGAAACATGGAATTAACATTGAAATGATCTTTGATTATGGGTCACATTCTACTGTCTTGTAAAATTAATAGCAGCTAGAAGCATGTAATCAGAACACATTGAACATATAATAATAACATACAGAGAATGAAATAGAAAATAAAAACTATTATTTAAAAAAAGTAGAAATTCCACTGAGTATGATCAACCAATCAATATGATTAAATGATTCTCTTAAACAAAATTCCTCTTCTACTTTACCCATTTTTATTCAGATCCACCAATATAACTTCGTAAGATAAACACTTCCTTACTATCTAAAATCTGACACCCCGTAAGGGAAAAACGATGTCGCTCTAAAAGTAAATGAAAAGGCAGAGAGCTCTAGGCTGACTCTCACTCAAATGCACCTGGAGGCACATGGTCAGGAACAGGTACAAGAATGTTTGCTTCAAAGTTATTTGCAGCTGAAAACGCTAAACAAGCTCTATAGGAGGAGGACAGAAAAAGTAGTCAGGTGATGGAACCCTGCAATAGCAGAAATGCCTGAACTAACAAACATGAGAGGTTCTTGGAAAAAAACATGGAGTAAAAAAACGAGTGGCAAAAATAACACTATCTTTATAAAATTCACAAATAATGCAAATCAAGTTATAGGCAAAATTATCAAGACTACCAAGGAATGACTGCTGTACCACAGAATGTACACCACTGCCAAGGAGGGACTGGGGCAGGAGGCTGGAAATCTCATGAGTGCTCACTTTCCATTCTTTAGGTCGGGTAGTATCTTCATGGGTATTTAGTTTGTTTATAACTTCTGTATATACAACATATTCATACATCACATATTTCAAATAAAATGTAAATAGAAGGAGAATTTACTGTACATTATGAAACAAAAAAATGTATTGCCGTAGTACATCTGCCTATTGATCAAATGGTAGAAGCGTAACCATCACTTATCATTGATTAACGTGTGCTCATCATCTAGTCTAGACCATCTGTCTTCTTTGGGGATGACTGGAGAAAGAAATAAGAAGAAAAATCTTTTGTCTCTCCTCGATGAAGACAGGGATCAGGTGTGTCTTGTTCACCACAATACTTAGCACCTGGCAACTAGTATTTTTGAAGGAATGAATGAAATAACAAAAAAGAAGGCAGAGAAGAAAAAAGAAAGAAGGGATATGTGCTAGTAGATTTTCAGAGCTCCTTGCACTAAGAACACATTTCAGGCTTTATTTCAGACATAGCATATGAGCACTGGTTCATTTACTTGTCTCTCTTTGGTCTTTGAATAAATGTGACTTATCAGTTTGAAATGGTGATCCAATTGCACAGTTGTGGGATTCTGAGACCACCTATGTTCAGTTAGACCCCATATTATGCTGGCTAAGACACTGGCTGGCTTATAGGTAAGGCACCTGCTTGTCAATACGGCAGCTCTCTGCCAGGAGTCATTATTGCCTCTGGAAGAACAAACCAGCAAGATTTTATATGGGAGACTGTAACAGCTGCAATGCTATACTGATTAACAATGTGTTCATTCAATGGTTACTGAGTCCTCATTACAGGCTAGGTACTGGACAGCCCTAAAAACATCAGTATCACGGGCTTGTGTGCAAGATAAAATCACTATACTATACTTAAGAAGAACCTAGAATTTATTTTTAGGAAAATACATGATATATTATTATTATTATTATTACCATTTATCAAAAATAACATTTCATGACAGTATATATTGCAGCTTCAGAGACTGTCAAAGCTCCTACCAAAGTTACAAAAATAGTTTAAATAAGGAATTCATATGCTCAAAAAAATGTTTACATGGAAAAGACTTTTTTGGTTACGTAAACATTTGCTTCTCTATAAATTGATAAATTAAAGTTGGTGATGGAAGAACTGGTCACACCTAAGTGTGTTCCAAGAATCCATGTCATCAGAACAGGTATGGTAACATTTTCCATAATTTGCTACTATTAATAATAATCTGGAAGATGGTATAGCTATGCAAAGAAGAGTGTCTTAGGTAAAGCAAATAAGGATAATATAATAAATTAAGTTTAATATTATTCTAGTCAAAGCATTATTAGAAAGATTATCTTTTGCTATATCCTTCAAATTTCAAATGTCATTCAAAGCCAGGGGAGCAACTGAGGCAAATATTTTAGGAATTTACAAATCTTTCCAGACTATACATTTTGGCTCCCACAATACAAGGCAAAGATTAGAAGGAGAAATAAATCAGTGCACAGGGCTAGTGGGAATTAAATATAATTTTTAATGTGTAATAGCATTTACTGTAAAGGAATCCTTATTGCTTCTTTGACTTAATCCCATGGTAAATGCCTAAATGAGAGAGGGTCCTAGTAAAATAATTTTTCTGATAAAATCAACATATCCACGACATGGCTACGCCATCGTCTGCACTTCACTCCAGTGTGTTCCTACCTTCTGAGGAAGTTTCTGTACTGCTCGTCTCTGGCTTGGGCTGTCCTCCTCATTATATTCTGGAAAACTTCTCGATCTAGAGCCCATGTTTTCACATTGGTGATAGCTTTAAAAAAGCAACAAAACAATAAAATATTGTTTAGCACCACTCGAAGAAAGCAATCCAAAAACAATCCATGCATTTGCTCTATGTTCCCAGATACTGATATTTCTCGGGAAGTGTATTATTTAAACAGCAAATGGAAGGAGACGGTAAAATGAATAGTAATTTATAAATCATTTTGGCTTTGAAATGAGTCATGATTTGGAAGTGGGTAGCACAAGATTTCTTCCTAATTATGTTTTGGTTAGGGTGATATTAAAATTAGTTTACAATTCCCAAGTAGGAGCTACAGCCATGATCAAAGAGAAAGGCAGGCAGCCAGTAGGTAAGCCAGAGTTCAGAATTCACATGCAGGTAATTGAAAGATATCTCTGTGTATGTGTCTGGGTGCGGATCTTTTTATGTTATTTGGGCATGGCTACTAAAGAGTCAATATATTTTAAGGATCTTCATGGCCACTTCGTATAAAATGTATACAAATAATTTTAAAGAGAGTAAGGAAGAAAGTCTTTGAGAATATAGGAAACACATAAAAGGCAAACAGAATTTTAAAATGAAGTGTAGCAGAGTGAAGCTTTAATCAAAAATCTAGATGAAATTTCAGTTATAAGATTTTCAAAAAAAAAGGGGGGGTGGAGTAATGAGAGTCTACAAACCTCTGATTTACCAAACTTTAGAGTCAATTAGAGGTCTCTTAATATGCTTGTTAAAAATACAGATCCCTTAACAGGTACCAAATCACAGCGATAAAAGTAATAAGTTCCTGGCGTTACTCAGCACAGTGGGGTGAATGTAGCTCACAACAGACATTTATACATTTATGAGCAAAGAGTGGAGCAGAGCTCCAAGGCTACAACCCCAGAGCGCTGACCTAGTGAGGGAAATGATCACTGCATGGACTGCTACATGGACTGACACATCCATATGTATGTACAGTTATGGCGAATCACAATTTTTAAATGTTTAAGGATTCAGAAATGGGAACATGATTTGATGTTCACACACTGAACACAATTATTGACTGATGACATACCCCATAAGTATGTACAATTAAAATTATAATAAAAACACATGTCACTGAGCTCCATCTGTAACCAGGTAGAAAATAAGGTAAGCAAGCATTTTTACTACTTAAGTGGAAAGCTGGGCAGGTGATGTTTCAGGCCTGGACTGCGGGCTTCCTGCCCACCCATGCCACAATGCATAAATTGCCTTGTTCCTTATCTCAACTTCTTTAGCTGAGCAGGACCTGCTCAGGCAGGATCTAAACTCACCGCATGTGGACCTCAAGGAATGTGTTGCCATCAGTCAGTAATAGGTTTTTGGTTTTTTTTGTTTTTGTTTTTTTTTGTTGTTGTTGTTGTTGTTTTTTTGTTTTGTTTTGTTTTTGTTTTTGACAGGCAGATTGGACAGGGAGAGAGAGAGAGGGACAGAGAGAAAGGTCTTCCTTTGCCGTTGGTTCACGCTCCAATGGCCTCTGCAGTGGGCGCGCTGCAGCCCGCGCACTATGCTGATACGAAGGCAGGAGCCAGGTGCTTCTCCTGGTCTCCCATGGGGTGCAGGGCCCAAGCACTTGGGCCATCCTCCACTGCACTCCCAGGCCACAGCAGACAGCTGGCCTGGAAGAGGGGCGACCGGGACAGAATCCGGCGCCCCAACCGGGACTAGAACCCAGTGTGCCAGTGCCGCAGGCGGAGAATTAGCCTATTGAGCCGCGGCGCCAGCAGTAATAGGTCTTGGCACCTGACACCAGCTCTTTAATGAATTTAGCCATACCTGCACTCCCTTCCTTGTAACCACTTTATAAACCTCAAAACAGCCTTATCCAACAGAGCGGTAGTCTTTGAGCCTGGGAAGTCTGCTACCCTCTCATCTGTCGACAGATTGAATGAATGTTCTCTTCCCTTCACCGCAAAGCCTTGTCCTTGTTATTTGATTTGGCACTGGCGACATGGACCCAGCTTTTGGTAGCACATTATCAGAGATTCTGTTTCAGGATATAGGGTAGAATCCCAGAATCTGTACTTTTTTATGATTTATTTATTTTTTGAACTGACATAAAAATTCTACACATATATGAAATTTTATGATTTTTCAACAAATGTATACATTGTGTAATGTCCAAATAAGGGTAAAGATGTCTATCTTGACAAATATGTATTATTTCTTTACAATGAAAAGATTCAAAGCCTTTTCATCCAGTTTTTTTTAAGAAACATATGCAATGCATTTTCATTTATAATGATGACCCTACACTGCAACAGAACAGAACTTTTGACTCCTGTCTAACAACAACTTAGTACTTGTTAATCGACATTTCCCTATCCATCTCTCCCCACTACCCTTCCCAGCCTCTGCTAATCACCATTCTGCTCTCAACCTCTATGGGAGGGGCTGGCACTGTGGCACAGCAGGTTAAGCTGCCACCTGCAGAACTAGCATCCCATATGGGTGCTGGTTCCAATCCTGGCTGCTCCACTTCTAGTCCCTGCTAATGCACCTAGGAAGGCAACGGAAGATGGCCCAAGTGTTTGGTTCCCTGCAGCCATGTGGAAGACCAAGATTAAGCTCCTGGCTCCTGGCTTCAGCCTAGCCAGCCCTGGCCATTGCAGTCATTTGAGAAGAGAACCAGTAGATGGAAGATATTCTCTCTCTCTCTTCTCTCTCTCTCTCTGCCCCCTCTAATTCTGCCCTTCAAATAAATAAATAACTTTTTAAAAAAACTTCTATGAGAGCAACTTCTCTTTTTCCAAAGATTTTGTTTACTTGAAAGACAGACAGAGGAAGACAGAGAGCCAGACAGCCAGCTAGAGATCTCCTTGCCTAATTTTTCAGTTTATGATTATCAGTACTATGTTAAATAAAAGTGGCAAAAGTAAGCATCCATGTCTTCCTCCACATCTTAGGAATCCTTTAGCTTTTCCCACTTCTGTATGATATTGCTGTTGAATTGTTGTTATGTATGGTCTTTATTATGTTGAGATACATTCTTTCTGTACCTAATTTAGTGATGGATGCTGGATTTTATCAAATGCCTTTTCTGTATGTACCAGGACGATCATGGGTTTCGTCCTTCCATTTTGTTGACATAGTATGTCATGTATATTGATTTGCATATGTTGAACCATTCTTTCAGAACTAAGAGGAATCTCAGTTGATCATGCTGAATAATCTTTCTACTGTACTGTTGGAATCTGTTTGCTAGTATTTTGTTGAGGACTTTTGCATCTACGTTTACCAAGTATGTTAGCCTGTAGCTTTCTTTTTTGCTGTATTCTTGCCTTATTTTGGTATCAGGGTAATTTTGGCTTCTTAGAATGTATTTGGAAGAATTCTCTCCTCTTCTATTTCTTGGACTGTCTTAAGAAAAACTGATATGAGTTTTCCTTTAAATGTTTTGTAGAATTTGGCAGTGAAGCCAGTGGGTCCTAAGTGACCCTTTGATCAGAGACTTTTTTTTACGGATTCAATCTCATTACTGGTTATCAGTCTATTTAGGTATTCTTTTTCTTCATGACTCAATCTTGGTAAAGTGTATCTGTTCAGGAATTTGTCCATTTCTTCTAGTTTATCAAATTTGTTGGTGTATAATTATTTATAATAATACCTGATTATTTTTACTTTTGTGGTATCATGGAATCTACATTTTATCAAATACTTCCTCAATGCTAATACATATAAATCCAGTCCTAAACATTAAGAAATGCTATATCTAAATATTTCAGAAGAAAACTCAAGATGACTATGAATAAATTCAATAAAACCAGAAATCCTTAAGAGAAGCAATTAAACTAATCCCAAAAGTCACTCATGAATATTCTCATTGCATTAATTCATATCCCTTTTGATATTTATATTTTTCCATTGGCTTATTTAATTTTCTGGTTTATATATGTAAAACCTAAATAGAGATTAGAAAACAACATTACGCACATGTCCATGTAGCAGAATATACAGTGAATGTTGGATTCATTTGGTTCAAGGCTGTCTTCCTAATTTGTACGGAGTTCTCTTATGTAAAAGTTATTTTTAACTTAAGTTATTTAGACAAATGCCTCAGTATAAATCCTTTCATGGGTGCAGCAGTTTCTATTAATAAGAGCATGTTGAGCAAAATGGCTGACAAAAATACATTAGATCAGGAGAGTTAAGTCTTAGCTAGGTTACCTTTAGCATTGTATAATTCTAAGATAGAGCATTTTATCCTCTTACCTTTCACAGAGGCAGTCCTTGTACAGTTGTATAAAATGGCTAGTTCCCCAAATGTAGTCCACATAGGGATAGATGATAGCAATTTCTCCCCTTGAAATACCTCTAGTCGACCCTCTATTGACAGAATTTAAGAAAAACAAAAATAATGAGAATATGCCTGCATTCCATAAATTCAAAAAAAAAAATGAAGAGTGTACAAAACATATAGAAGGCTGGCGCCATGGCTCACTAGGCTAATCCTCCGCCTAGCAGCGCCAGCACACAAGGTTCTAGTCCCGGTCGGGGCGCCGGATTCTGTCCTGGTTGCCCCTCTTCCAGGCCAGCTCTCTGCTATGGCCAGGGAGTGCAGTGGAGGATGGCCCAAGTGCTTGGGCCCTGCACCCCATGGGAGACCAGGAGAAGTACCTGGCTCCTGCCTTTGGATCAGCATGGTGCTCTGGCCGCAGCGCACCCACTGCAGAGGCCATTGGAAGGTGAACCAATGGCAAAGGAAGACCTTTCTCTCTGTCTCTCTCTCTCACTGTCCACTCTGCCTGTCAAAAAAAAAAAAATATATAGATAGATAAGGTGATAATTCACATTTTAATACAGTGGTTCAGAGTAAAGACTAAATTTAGCTCTTCTTTTATTTTATTTTTTTATTCGACAGGCAGAGTTAGACAGTAAAAGAGAGAGAGAGAGAGACAAAGGTCTTCCTTCCATTGGTTCACCCCCCCAAATGGCCACTGCAGCCGGCGCACTGTGCCAATCCGAAGCCAGGAGCCAGGTGCTTCCTCCTGGTCTCCCATGAGGGTGCAAGGCCCAAGCACTTGGGCCATCCTCCACTGCCTTCCTGGGCTACAGCAGACAGCTTGACTGGAAGAGGGCAACCGGGACAGAATCCAGCACCCCAACTGGGACCAGAACCCAGAGTGCCGGTGCCACAGGCAGAGGATTAACCTAGTGAGCCGAGGCACCAGCCTAAATTTAGCTCTTCTACCTACTCCTTATTAGCTGGGTCACCTAGAGAATATCACCTTTTCTGCCTGGAGTTCCATATCAATAATGGAGATAATAATAATTACTATTCCCACTTCATAAAGTCTTTGTGAGAATTAAATAAATTAACATAGGTAGGAATGGCTAGCACATAGGATTTGCTATGTAAGTATTAGCCATTATTAACACTTGCGTGTATGGTCACCATTCTAACAGAATCCTTCCTGAAGCAGTGGGTGGCAAGCGTTTTATTTGAAGTTCATTCTACCCTATCAAAAGGGTACGGCATAAAACTCTCTTTTACCAGGAGCCCAACAATCACTGTGTGTCTTGAAATCACAGCAGAATTGTTCAACGCGAAGGCAGAGCAACTTGTGATAACTGAGAATTGCCCCGGAGTCGACTGCCTGGCTCTGAGCCATGGCTCTAGTTACTGGCTGGATGACTGGCGAGTTTCTTCCCAGTGCTTCCACCACTATTCATTCAAATGTAATGCATACAAAGGTCCTTTGAAAAGTTTGTGAAAATGGAATTGAAATGTGCATTTACTTTGGTGAAAAATTCTGAAATTCATGCATAGTTTTTCCCGTTACACATGTTTTCCATGAAGTTTTTGAAGACCCCATATACGAATTATAAATGTTAAGAGGCTAAGAAAAGTGCTTAGCACTTAGGTGTACCTAGGCAAAGAATGGAGAACTCCAGATTACCTTCTCATAGTTCTTTTGCCTTATTAATATTCTTCTCCCATCCCTTCAAACAAGCATAAACAAAACCTTACCCAACCCAGATTGTAAGCAAAATATATCTAAATTCTGAGAGGAAGAAGAAAAGGTGAGGCAAAGTCTCTTTTCCTAAAGAATCCACCTCTTTCTAAACAGCTCTGAGTCATCTCTGCCCATTCATTCATTCAACAGATCTGCCAGCGCATCAGAATGTAGAGAAGAGGAAAGACACTTAATCTGATAGGATTTATATTCCAGTAAGAAAAAAAACCTCCAAATTCTACAGATTAGATATGCATTTTAATAAATTCCCATTACAGCTAAATTTTATTCCATCAAAACCACTTACTGCTAACATCCAGTTGAAATCATGGATGTTAATGCATTTCAAGGACTTTTTTAATTGGCTATGGCTCATAGGACTTGAGCAATGCTGAAGAATTATATGGGATATCAAAAGTTTAAGCTAAATATGCTTTTACTATTTGCTATATTTTATAAAGGGAAGATATTTAATTACAAAATTAATTTGCTCAACCAGATAATTAAACCAGGCAATTCAGTCCTTACATGACATTGTAATTAATTCAACCAAGAAACCATCCAATTTTCATTTCCATGTATAGCCCTGATCTCAATAGCTGCACTGATGCTGACTTCTGCTCAACCTCTTCCCCCTCAAAACCTTTCATCAGAGTTAGTGGCAAGGAACAAGATGGGCTGACGTGAGTTTCACATCCTGTCCAGCAGGTTCCATAAATGTTTGTTGACTTAATTGGCTATCTCCTCTTGCCAGAATGCTCTAGCGTTGCTAAAATGGATAAGAAACAACCAAGCAAAAAAATGCAAGAAAGAAAAATTGCTCTGGTTCACCTGTCCACAAAAAACCAAAGCCTGGCTATGAGCAGTACACTCTACTACTTGACTAGAATAATCATTTGGAAAGGACTATACAATTTTAAAGGTGCTTAAAAAGATGCATATGGCGAATAATACAAAAATAATTATGACTGTCATGTTTGAAGAATATATGTAGGTAAAAACACTCTTTTATACACCAGATATAGAATTATATATGTTTATTACTTGATAACACATGTCTTATCATTTAGATAGGCAACTTCTGTCCTAAACCTAAGGCCCCAAGGAATAAAAGCATTGCTTGGATGATCAGGAAATTCAATGCCAAACAGAAAGCATGACACATCTCAGGTCACCACTCTATCTGCATAAGCCAGGGTAACTTTGTTTCCTAAAACTCAACAAGGTGAAGCCATTCAGAATTCGGCATGGCATTCAAAAGCTTCAATCTCTGTTCAGATAATTTCATGCTTATTTATCTACAAAAAGTTTTTTGAAGTAGCAGTTATAAAATCTATACAGAAATAAAACCCTTTGCCTTTCTAACCATTATAATCTCAGCATACAAACATGTTCAAGGGATCACAGAGGAAGAGAACCATTTAAGTGATTCCAAAAATATTAGTTTTAATTGTGAGGCATTCCATTTGACTTGTCTGTTGCTTACGTGAACATAAATTATCTTTTGAAAGCATTGGTATATATCAAAAGTATTTTCCAGAACCACAAAAATTATTTTTTTCTGATACAGTTACCTACAACATCAATATAAGCAGCAATATTTTGAAGGGAAGCACATCTTTGAGTAGCTGGAACTGTGGTTAAAAGCACAAATTCTTAAGTCAGATTGTCTAAATTTGCATTGTAGGTCCACTACTAATAAGCTGTGTAGCTTTGGATTATAAGACATAGTCTCAAATTGTAACATGGAGAAAAAAGAAGTTGTTTTATAGGGCCAGAAACTAGATGGAATTAAACCTCTTCCTTAAGTATTTTATAAGATGTTTGATCTTCAGAAACTATTGGGCAAATATTACATATTTTCATCATCATATTAGACAAGCAATGTTACTATATCATGAACTTAATCTCTTAGATATTCTACAAAGAGAACAACTGGTTTTGCATTTTCATAAATATTTTCAAAATATTTATAACTGGAAAAATTCTGTGAAACCCACCTGCTAGCACAAAGATATGATTCCCTGGTTCTCCTTGTTTAATAATGTAACTCCCTTGCTGGTAGTTCCTGCCGTACATGCATTCCACCATGTCTTTGATCTGCTGAGGGTCCAGTCTCTTCAGAAACTGGTTTTTATTAAGGGCATCTGTAATGAGCTTCTTCTCACTGGAGTGACAGAAAAGAAATGTTAGGTGTAAGGATTTAGCTGCCAATTAAGACGCCCACATCCCATATCATAGTGCATGGATTCAACACCCAGTTGCACTTCTGACTCTAACTTCTTGCTAATGCAGAACCTGGAAGGCAGAAATGGTGCCTATGGTGATGGGAGTCTTGCCACCCATGTGAGAATCCTGGATGGAGTTTTTGGTCCCAAGCCCAGCCCAGGACCATTCAGGACATCTGGAGAATGAACCAATGAATGGGAGCTCTCTGTCTCTGTCTGTCCCTCAAATGCATAAATAAAAATTTTTAGAAGATCCATTACTTAATATTAGTGACAACCATGCTTTACTATCTAGATTCACTTCATTACCACACCTTACCTGTGAGGTAATTTTGAATCGTTTCCTGATTATTATTATTGTGCTGATTGTACTGTCACTCCTAATTGTATAATTACTCCCAATCACCAGAATTGCAGACTTTCTCAGGATTCCTAGACACACTACTAAGGCACACATGACTTCTGGATGGAACATAAGTCTGGTGGATGGGAAGAGGTTATATTTAAGGAACTGAAACATGGTCATTCCCTGGAGTGTGCCTAGTGTCTGCGGCACCAGCTCTTTTATACCTTCTTTCATCCTCACCTCTATCTTGTGTGATAATTACCAATCCTACTCCAAGAAGTAAAAAAACCACTTATTCTTCATAGGAGTAAATCTAAATCTGAGTCTAAAGTCGGTGCTACTTCTGTTATATCCCACTGCCTCTTCTGAGGAAGACAGTTCTCTCCTGTGGGGCTCATTAGATGGTGGCAGTCTGGTTTGGCTCACGTTTTACTCTAGGTACGTGTAGACTAGACAGAGCCTACATTTCCAATCTCACATCTATCAATCCTCAAATCCAAACTATCAATACCCCTAGAACTCTATGTTTTTTCTTCCAAAAAAAAGTTACCCAATGTTCATTACCATACATTTTAAATGTTCTAATTAACATGATTTTATGTAGATATCATAAAGTTATTGGACAGGAAGAAAGGATCTTTTATTGGCTAAGTCAGAGTATCTGAACAGTGTATTCTCATAAACACAGCATTTTTTAAAGATGTATTTATTTATTTGAAAGGCAAGAGGTCTTCTATCTACTGGTTCACTCCCTAGATGGCTGCAATGGCCAGAGATGCGCCAATCTGAAGCCAGGAGCCAGGAGCCTTCTCTGGGTCTCCTATGGGAGTGCAGGGTCCCAAGCACTTGGGCCATCCTCCACTGCTTTCCCAGGCCATTGCAGGAAGCTGGATTGGAAGTGAAGCAGCCAGGACTTGAGCCAGCACCCATACGGGATGCTGGCACCCCAGGCAGCAACTTTACCCGCTATGCTACAGCCCAGGGCCCCACAGCATGATTTTTAAGGTAGCATTTCCTCTCTATATTTTTCAATCAAGCTTTCTCTGAACACTGATTTTACAGTTTGAAAACTAGCAATCTTTTTCTATACAAAGAATTCTTGGAGTGGGCATTTAGCATAGTGGTTAAGATATTGCTTAGGCTCTCTATGTGTGCATCCCATATCAGAGTGCCTGGTTCAAGTCCTGGCTACTCCACTTCCAATCCAGCTTCCTGATACTGTGCACCCTGGGAGGCTATAGATGGCGACTCAAGTATTTGGGTCCCTGCTACCCACACAGGAGACCTGGCTTGAATTCTGCAGACCTGGCTTCAGCAGGCTGTTGTGAGCATTTAGGGAGTGAACCAGCAATGAAAGGACTCTCTCTTTCAGCTTTAAAATAAAATTAAAATAAATTTTTATAAAATGTTTTAAGTTTTCAAACACAAGCTAAGACTTCTTAGAATAACTGCTTCCCTCATGAGTCCATCTGTCAGATCATGAAGGTCCATGCAGGAAACAGGACAGAGTCTTCTACACAGACACTACTTCTTCCCTTCAATCTCTCCGCTCTCATCCAAACTCTGAGTACCTTCAGAATTTATTTCCCTCTTCATCTTATGTATCACCAAACTACATGAATTCTCTTTACAAAATATCACTCATAGATTTTATCTTCTGTTTTCAAGGTTGTCCCACAGTCCAAAAAAAAAAAAAAATAATCTTAGGTCTGTACAACTTTAACGGCTTCTTTCCTGGAATTTCAGTTTCTAGCATCTGTCTCCTAAACTCTATTCTTTACCATATTAACAAATAAATGTTGCAAAAAATTGACCAAAAAATTGAATTCATCATTACCTTTCCTGAAACTAATAATTCACCTGATTGCAATATACCAAGAACATATATTTGGCAGGTAATTTTCTTGAATCAAATAGTGGAACTGTGAACTATACTGGAAAATCTGTTTTCATGGACTTTCATGCTAGTGTAATATTCCAGCCAGTTTTCCTCAATGCCTACATATTCTAATTTACCAATGTTTATAAACAGTTTCTTTAGAAGCAAAAATGTGTTGACTAAGGGATTTTGAAAATGTACAACTCACACTTCAAAGATTAAAACAGGCCTTGTAGCAAACAAATCTGCTTAAACCAGTTTTTCTCAAACTCTAAGGTATTTTTTTCTTTCCTTATCTTTTAACTAAATTTCTGACAAGCCACTGAAGAACTATGAAATCATCTTTTCCCATAGAAGAAAGCTAATACACTCTAACCCAATATTCATCATTTCCTACAACACGGCTCCACTCTATTAATCTAGTTCTTCCTCCCTAAAACAAATATTTTATTACAGATAGATCGGTACCCTCACTGTCTCTTACATCTGCCAGCTTCAGCTTAAGGCTTGGAACACGTTTTCGCCTCTGACTTTGCTTCTTCTCTCCTCGGTCTGTCCAAGAAAGCCTCACGCTTCTAGACGGATGCTGTAGCTCATACAAGCCTTTCATTCCACTTTGATCTTCCAGGCACAATAATTTTTATGTACAGTTGGTAAATGTTAGCAAGAACCTACTTAGGACACAAAAATTACTTAAACATGGTCCATGCTCTTAAAACTCATAGATCCTTATTGGTTAGTTTAGTGTATAAACATGATATTTTTAAAATCCTCATTGCATTCCTAAATTTATTAACATATCGAGAACAAACTGAATGAATTTCATAGATATAGTTCCAAGAATAGAATACGTTCATCCTGCCCTCTCTCCTCCTTCTTTTATTTTCATTTTTTTGTGGTAGCATTCTTTCAATTTACCTTATAATCAGAGTCTCAATTATTCCTCTAAACAAAAAGCTCTACAAGTAAAAGGTAGATAAGACTCCTGTTCTGCAGGGGTGTAGGCAAAGGTAAATAGACAATGGTCAAATCACAGGATGTCAGTTTAGCTTAATATGCTTTACTTTTTTAGGGTATTCTATATACTAGCTGCAGCCAATCAAAGAAAACATATGATATTTGTCTTTTATAGACTGGCTTATTTCTACTAAGCTTAATGGTCTCCAGTTCCACATATTTTAATAATAGAAAGTTTCTCTCTATGGATTTTTCTCCCAACTGGATGACCAATTCTTGATGAGATGAGTCCTAACTTGATTCTCTTGTTTAAGGGAAGTATATATCATGAATTAAGAACATGAGTTTTTCAACTCCTCCTACAACTATGATTTGTCAGCTACTATCAGTACAGGTCTCTCTGCCCCTCAAAAAATCATCAAAGCTGTTCAGATAAATAAAGAGAAGCAGAGAGAAAGAGAAAGAGAAAAAATCTGTTGAAAGTATTGGTGATCTACCAGCACAGCATCCACATGTGGAATTGTGATTCACAACAGAACACGAGCTTAACATTCACCTCTGCTTTCCTCGTAAGGGATTATTTGACTTGTATATGGCTCCTGAACAGTACTGTCTTTATAGAAAGAAACACATAACAGATCAAGGTACTGGTTTTTGGCTGTTCGTCATTTGATCTGTTTTCTTGGTATGCCTGGTATTTCTTGATGCCATCTCAGCTATCCGTTATGGAAAAATTGTACAAAACTCTGAGTCTAAACATTGTGTGAATTTTTACAGAAAAGATTTACTTTTGCTTGTGGCAGATAGTTAGAACAGGAGCAAATAATTTTAACTCAAGCAGGATCTATTTTTTTTTTTTTTGAGACAGTCAGTATATTTTGATTAGTCTTTGCTTCTAGGTTGCAGTATTTCATGTATCCCATCTGAAATGCTGTTTATCAGAATTCTCCATAGAGTACCTGGAACCCCAACTTTTGTCTTCCTCATCCTTTAATTATAATCAAAAATTTTCTTAAATCAATGAAAAGACATCAAGTAACAGGTAAGGTTCATTATAAACTTCAAACAAACACAAAGGAAACCACATCTTGGTCTATGATAGTCAAATTGCTGAAAACCAAATACAAAAAGAAAAATCTAAAAGTCAGCTATAAAAAAGAAACACATTGCCTTCATATGATCAACAATAGGACTGATTGATTTACAGAAATAATGGAAGCCACAACACAGTAGAATATTCTCAAAATGTTTCAGAAAGCCTATTTAACTACCTTTACATGGTAAAAACAGCCTTCAAATATGAGAACAAAATGAACACATTTCAAAATATTTTTCCGTGGGCAACACATAATAGTGCATCACTCCAAACAGCAGGAATTTGATCCCAGGTGGAAAACAGAAGATGTTAGAAAGAAGAAATAGCAATGGAAAAAATAAATATGTAGGTAAGTAAAGGAAGCTTGCCTTTACCAAAGAATGATAATACCTTGTAGAGTGTATAATATACAGCAAATTAATGTCTGAAAACAATAAATGAAAAAATGAGATGGAAACAATAAATCGAGTTAGCATAATTTTTTAAAGTTTTTTTTATTTATTTATTTGACAGGCAGAGTTACAGACAGTGACAGAGAGAGACAGAGAGAAAGGTCTTCCATCTGATGGTTCACCCCCAAAATGGCCGAAACAGCCTGAGCTACGCGGATCTGAAGCCAGGAGCCAGGTGCTTCCTCCTGGTTTCCCATGTGGGTGCAAGG